CTCGATCAACAACACCAGCAACAACATTATTATTATTATCATCATAATTATCATCACTTGTATTAATCATCATCATCATCATCATCGTTGTCGTCATTTTTTCTGATACATTTTCATTATTATTATTATTATTATTAGCCAATGATAGTTTAATTATCATTAATAAAATGATTATTATAAATATAATATTCATTAACTGATGAAATGATGTTGATGATAAATTCCAACTGTATAATATTTTATAATGAAAATTTTTATCATTTTTCAATACTGTTGATGTTGCTGTTGCTGATAATGTTGATGATGATGATGATGTCGTTAATCGTTTTTTTATTTGTAAATTATCATTATCATCATCATCATCATCATCATCATCATGGTTATCATATGCCATGATGATTTGATATTCTTTATTCTGTTTGTTTGTTTGTTTTTTTTCCTGTTTAATTATTATGTAATAATAACATTTGAAAAACAAAACAAAATGATGAAATTCTTTGAATATTTTTGTTTGTTTGCTTTACTTATTCAGAATTTTTTTTCGATGTTGATGATGATTATGATGATGAAAACTTTTCGTTTGTTTGTTTGCTGATATCGATCAAACAAACTAAAAAATATCGAAATAGTTGTTTGGAATTGCAAACAAACAACAACAACAATAACAACAACAAATATCCAGAGTTAAAAATTATTCATTGTTTTATTGATGATGATGATCATCATCATCATCAAGGGAAATCAAAACGAAACGAAACAAAACAAATATTTTCAATCACCACGTTAGGCATATTTTTATTTTCATTGATCCCAATTGAGAATTGGAAAGAAAAAAAAATTTTTGAATAATTTTTTTTGTTTCAAAAACAACAAACAAAAAAATTGTTGTCACGAATATTCATTTTGCTTGGTTGCTGGAAACGCGCCGAACACAGAATATTTGCAAAAATTTGACATGATGATGATGTTTACGGAAACAGAAGAACATGCAACACGATGTATACAATGGTTGCTGTTTGTTTCTTCTTTTTGTTTCTGGTCGGAAGTGAAATTAAAATAAGCAAATTTTCTTTGTAGAATTTAAAGTTTTTTTTTCTTCAGATTATTAAGTTACATAACACCTACACACACACACACGCACACACATTACATTATCATCATATTCAACAGANGATGATGTCGTTGATGATGATGTCGTTGATGATTGTCGTCGTCGTTGAGTTAATCGTTTTTTTATTTGTAAATTATTATTATCATCATCATCATCATCATCATCATCATGGTTATCATATGCCATGATGATTCGATATTCTTTTACCTCGTTTGTTTGTTTGTTTTTTTCTGTTTAATTCTTATGTAATAATAACATTTGAAAAAAAAAAACAAAATGATGAAATTCTTTGAATATTTTTGTTTGTTTGCTTATTCAGAATTTCTTTCGATGATGATAACTTTTCGTTTGTTTGTTTCTATCGATCAAACAAACAAACAAACCAAAAAAATATCCAGAGTTAAAAATTATTCATTGTTTATATTGATGATAATGATGATGATGATCATCATCATCAAGGGAAATCAAAACAAAACAAAACAAATATTTTCAATCATCATGTTAGGCATATTTTTTATTTTCATTGATCCCAATTGAGAATTGGAAAAAAAAAATAATTTTTTTGAATAATTTTTTTGTTTTGTTTCAAAAAGAATTCATAAACAAAAAAAAAAATATTCATTTTGTTTGGTTGCTGGAAACACACACACACAGAATATTTGCAAAAAAAAATTTGACATGATCATGATGTTTATGGAAACAAGCAAACATGCAACACGATATATACAATGGTTGTTGTTTGTTTCTTCTTTTATTTCTGGTCGGAAGTGAAATTAAAATAAGCAAATTTTCTTTGTAGAATTTAAAGTTTTTTTTTCTTCAGATTATTAAGTTACATAACACCTACACACACACACACGCACACACATTACATTATCATCATATTCAACAGAGTGAACAAAACAAAACAGAAAAAAAATGTGTATTTCCCGTTCTATGTTTGAATTGGATCTGATTTCGATGGTGTCTGGTCTTCCTTTTATTTTTTTCGGTCTGTCTGATGATTGGTGGCGGTGGTGGTGGTGGTGTTCCAACAGAATAAAACAAAAGCCAAAATGCCCAAACATGTTCCAAACAATCAAGCTTTCATTCCAAACGAAAAAAGAATAGCGGTAGTGGCATATGCATAAAACATCCATGCTTGCACATGACAATACATGAAAAAAAAATTATTCTTGATAATCCGGTATTTGGTTTGTTTTTTTTTTAAATAGAAACGGTTATCAATTTATAGATCAGATCATAATAATCAGCAGCAGCAGTAAAAATATTCCCAAAAAAAAATGGATGAAATTTGGAAAAAATAAAATGAAAACATTTGATTAACTAGAAAGGAATTCTTCTTCTTCTTTTTTTATTTGGAATTTATTTCTTGATTATGATGAATTTTTAAAAGAAAAGAAAAGAAAAAAGGGATGAATGAAAAGAAAAAACATATTCCATTGAAAATTGTGGCTTGAATAGTCAAGAAAACAAAACAAAAAACAAGACAAAAACAAGAATCATTAATGAATAGAGAATGAAAAAGAATGAAAAGAAAGAAAGAATCTTTATCTAGAATAGAATAATTAAATGGACATGATAATGCGGATACTGATGATAATATCGATAATAAAACATTATCATCATCATCATCATTATCATCAAAATGACAATGGACATTGATAATAATAACAATAATAATGATAATTTTTCTGTTGTTGTTGTTGTTGTTGATTTTTTTCTGAAAAGAAGACGAAAATCGAATCCAAAAAAAGAATCCTGTCATTTTCATTAGAATTTTTTTTTTGTTGCTGATGGTCTTTTGTGTACTTGAATGGATCAATGGAATGAATTCATTCCATTGATGATGACGACCAAAAACAAAATGACAATGACAATCATGATGTTGTTGTTGTTGATGATAAATAAATGGAGCGAAACAGAAAAAAGATAAATAGAATAGAAAGGAAACATTTTATGAAAAAAAACATTGTTGTTGCTATTTTTTCAAATCGAAAATGAATGCTTGAATGAATGTTTGGATCAAAAAATGGTCATCATATTTTTTAATTGTTTTATTTGTTTTGTTCGTTGATATAATTACCAAAAAAAAAAAGAAAATTTGTCAAAACAAAAAATACCCAACGGTCATTAGGCTGTTTGTTTGTTTGTTTGTTTTTCTGAAATGAAACATCTTTTTTAAAACCCCGGAATTCAAACATTTTTTTTTCTTGAAAAATTATTATCATCATTTCCGGAAAAAAATCCAAATAAATAAATATCAGAAGCAGCAGCAGCAGCAGTGAAAATGACTGAATCGCAAATATTATCCGATCGATAATCGATGATGATGATGATGGAAAAAATCGATCAAAATTAAATTTTGTTTTCATTTTTTTTCTGGTTAAATATTGGTAGTTTGTTTGATCATCAGAGAATTCAGTTATATTTTTCCTGTTGTTGTTGAAAAGATTCCGCATCTGATTTGGCTGGAAGCCAAATTTTGTTTATTTGAAGCCAAAGAAAATCGAAAATGGAAAAAAATTATTTATTTATCGATTGTGAAATTGAATGTTAAAAACTTCAATTGTATTTGATGATCGTCAAAATCATTCAAACAAAATTATATGGAAATCGATGATGATCAATGGAAATGTCCACTCTCTCTCTCTGTAACTCTCTATTTGATGTAAATTTTGTTGTTGTTATTGTTGTGCAAAAAAGAAAAATCCATTGTCATTATCAAATAACTGTTTTCTGTGTTTTTTTTTCTCTGTGGTCACTGATTGTCACCCGTCGTTGTCAAATTCAAAAAATCAATGTTGACAAATGCATCACATTCGCAAACAACAACAACAACAAAATTTGGAAAAATTTTCAAAAAAAATGCATAATATTTTTCCAATTTAAAATGTGTGTGCTTCCAGTGAGAATATCCTGAATATACTGGACCCACGATAACAGCAACAACATTTTTAGAAGAAAAAACTTTGGGGAACATTTTCAATTGAATCAAAGGGTAGGAAAAAAAAATTCATCATTTCCGATTGGTTCGTTACGAAGTTTCACGTTTGAATGATTAGATTATTATGGTGAACAACAACAACAACAAAAAAAGAGAGGAATTTGAAAGAAAAAAATAAAAAAATCTATTTCAGCTGTCAAACATTGAATATATTCTTTTCACATTGTTGTTGTTGATCATGACAAATACAACAACAACAAAGAAAGCAAAAGAAATTTTGAAATTGTATAATGCATGTTTGTTCAGTTCGGTTGGTTGGTTTGTTGATGCCGGGTCTTTACACACAAACACACCCATGCGATTTGAAATAATCCCGATTGAAACATCCCTTTTATTTTGATTTTGATTTGATTTTTTCTGTTTTTTATTTGAGAAAAACAAACAAACAAATTCTTTCGTCATTTTTTTTTATTCGGATTTCTTCTCAGATTTTCTCTGCTTGCAAAACGAAAAAAGAATTTCATTCTTTTGCAAGCAGAAATTTGCAATATTCACACATAAACATCCAAAAACCCACACAAACACCCGACCAGACATTGGATTCACATGATTAAAACGTTGATATCAGTCATATGCAACCGAAAGAAGAAAAAAAACCATTGAAAATTATCATTATTTATTGATAAGTATTTTTTTCATTATTGAATAATAAATGATGTAAACGAAGATGAAAGATTCGATGATGTAATAAATATTAAATAACCATAAAAATGAAAAAAAAACAGTGAAATCCCCCCCTTTAATCATCAATCTAGATTTGTATTTCTTTTTTTTAAAGTATCAAGAAATTGTTTTACAAAGCAAAAAAGAAAAAATCATAAAATTTATTTAATTAATTAATAATGATGATGATTTTTCTTCTAAAAATTTTTTTTTCCGTTTCGTTTTTACAAAAATCAATTGTTTTCCGTTAACAAGATTATTATTTTTTTTTCGATAAACTTAACCAACCAACCAACCAATTTTGAATCATCCACCCACCAACTGTGCTTATTTATAATTATCTTAATCGAAAAATATTAAGAAAATTATTGCTATAATTATTTTTAAGTATTTCAGTAATTTCAAGTAATTTTTTGCCCTTGTTTGTGAAGTGAAAAAAAGAGAGAGGGAGAAAAGTGTTAATGAAATTGAATTGATTTTTTGGATTTGCAAAACTTACTTGTTTGACTAGATTACGAAATCGATTCATATCGATTAATTCTTCACGTCCTAATCGATAACGATCGATTGTTTTACGAAATTGTTCTGCCTTTGGAGGAAGAAAAAAAAAGAAAGTTTGAAATGAAAAATAACAAGAAATTAAACTAATCGGTAAATAGGATGGGATGGTGGTGTGTGTGTTTGCATTAATAAAAAAAATTTACCTGATCAAATAAATTTTGAAATTCTTCTTCACGTGTTTCTGGATTACAAAATTTTACCAAATCCCATTCATTATCATCATTATTATTATCATTGGAAGTTTTAGATATTTGTTTATCTCTTAAAAAATTTTTATCATAAATCCAACTATCATTTGTATTATCATCAGCGGCGGCGGCAATTGAATTGGTTTTTGAATCCGTTGTATAATTTTTTTTCTTCAACATTTCCAATGAATCAGATGAATTGAATTTTCTACCTGAATATTCACGTTTCATTGAACATTGTTGATAAAGTGATTTTTCATTTTCCAATGAATATTGTCTATTTCGTCGTCGTATACGTTGTCTACGACGTTCATTTAATATAACCAATGATTTAATAATTGATAGATAAGAATTTCTTAATATTTCAACATTTGAACGTAAATCGTCTGACTGAGAAAAATGAAAAATGAAAATACCAACCGTAAATCAAATTAATCGAATATTATTATTGTGTAATTTCAACATAACATAATAAAACTATTGGTTTCAAACATACCATTGAAATCAATCCATTCAAATCAATATGTTTAGCATTATCTAGATAGGCATATTTTGTTAGATAATTTGATTTTTCTTCTTTTTTTCGATGTTTTGCTGTTTCGCTTGAATCGGATACTGTGTGTTTATAATCAGAAATATAAATAGAAATAGAAATAATAATAAAATTACAAACAAAAAATCAATCAATCGATAAAATAAAATCATAATTTCGGTATATATTATTATTATTCAATTACAATTTTGTTCTGAACTTGAATCTTTTTTCTTATCATCATCATCTTTATTATCATCATCATCATCTTCGTCATCATCATTATGATTTCCTTTTTTGTTTAAATAGTCAAAAAATCTTGAAAACATCTTATTCGTAGTTGTTTTTTTGCAATCAACACTTTTTCACAAACACAGAACAAAGATATAGAGAAAGAGAAAGAGAAGAAAATCGATTTGTTCCAATAATTTTTCCTTTTGTTACAAGTAAATAATAAAAATCAAATTTATATTCGATGAAAAGTTTATTTATATTTATTTATGCTTCATTATTATTATTATTTTTAAGTTCTGTTCGATTTGGATTATAATAATAATAATAAGTAATAATAATAATAAAAGAAAAGAAAAGAAAAGAAATTCGCTTTTTTGTTACAAACAAATAATAATAATTTAATAATTGTTATGTCTACTAAGCGAATTTATTATCGATTTTTTGTTTGTTGTTGTTGTTGTTGTTGTGTAAATAAATGGACCATAATAATTTATTATTATTAAGCCAAATTCAAGTTTAAATAAGAATCAAATACGGAATGATATTAATACCATGTAAAGATTTATCTGATGAAAATAAAAACATCATCATCATAGTTGTTGTGTATTTGACTAGAAAAGAATTAATCGCAACAACAAAAAGAAATTTTTTTGCTGGTTTGTAAATATGATAAGAGAGAGTGTATATGGAAAAAAAAGTCAAAAAAATGTGAAAAGTTCAGCGATTTTTTTCTTCTCTTGATTTTTTTTGATGCCAAGAGAATTACAGCCCGGAAAAAAAGCGAAACCAAACTTGCGAATGTTTTCATTCATTATCCACCAAATACATTATTCCACCATTTATCAAATTGACGTCCATATTCAGTTTCTAATGATTTTTCCGATATCATTATATATAATGCTACAGCTAAACCAATTATTGATGAAATAAAGATATTATGACGAAATATAATACAGGTTACAATACAAAGACCAAAATATGTTGCATAACGTGCTGGTGATGCATATGGTTGTATTAATGGTTTTGGATCAGGATTTATACAAATACCATCTTTTAATATATGATTATCAGCACATTTTAAACACTGTTTAAGAAAAATAAATAAATTTAATGATTTTCAAAACTTTTCAAATAGAAAATATAAAAACTTACCGAATCTGGTCCATCACCATCACAACCATTACAGGCTGGATCACATTGATAACAAAGATATGAACCATCAGTATTAATACAGAATGAATTTAATGGACATGGATTATTATCATTTGATGATGATAATGATAATGATGGTTCACATTCATCAATATCGATACAGCCATTATCAATTGTCCAATAATAACCATTTCGACATACATGACAACCTTTTGGTCCAAAATCAAAACAACTACCCGAACAAGATGGATCACATGGTAAACATTGAACAGTACCATTTAAATGGAATAATGTTTCATTTCGGAAATAATCTTTTGCACATGAATCACAATTTTTATTTGTATAACCATGATTACAAAGACAATTTCCATTTCCTAATCGTGTACCTGAGCCGGCACATTTTCCATTATTCGAACAAATTCGATCCGGATAACCATTACATTGTTTACATTCATGTCCATAATGTCCATCTGGACAGCAAACTTTTAAAAATTCAATACATAATCTATTCACAATGATTAACTGATTATCTGATTGATTTTTTAATATAGCATACGAATGATCATTCCACCATTCATAAATTTTTTCATAATTTTCTTCAGCAAATGATCGACACTATATGATATGAAAATGACAAACAAATATTAATATCGTTCTGGTTAGAAAATCAAAAAGGATTTAATTACATCATCATGGCCAGCTTTAATATCGAAACAAAGTTTGTTCCAAATTTTCGATATGAAATCAATATTTTTCATTTGTTGTTGTTGTTGAGTATTATCATCATAAAGTAATGATCGAATCATCTGAAAAACAAATTATTTTAGATTTTACTGTGCAAATAAATCTTCTGTTTACCTCGAATAAAGAATTCGACATTAATCGACAACGAGTACATTTACCCAATACTGATGGTTTGAATTTTATTGAATTTCGTTTGATCGTTTCATTCGATATTGTTCCATTGTTGATTATCGTTGATGATTGATAATGATTTTCATTCGATTCAATAGAATCGATTTTTGAAAAAATAATAACAAAAATAAATAAAACTATTAATAAATAATGTTTCCAATTGATGATTTTATTTATAAACATTTGATTTGTTTTAAAATATTGTGTTTTTGGTAGAAATTTTTGACTAGATTAATTTATAAATTGTGAAACAATTTTCCGACGATGATCGATCGTAAATTCTTTACGACACATCATTTATGAATAGAAATGATATGATTAAATGTTTACGTTTAGAATTTTAACATTTTTTTTTCAAAAAAAATCCTTATTTTTTCAAGAAAAATTAATCATGACAATTTCGGACACCGATTGAAAAACCAACAAGAAAATAATTATGGAACCAAAATCAATAGATTGTCCACGAATAAAATCCAAATTACATACAACAACAATATCGACAGCATATAATATTATATTACAAATTGGTCTTCGTTTATTTAGTTTTATAATCAATGCATTTATTCTTCGATTCATCACTAAAGAAACACTTGGTATAATCAATGTACGATTATTATTATTATATACGACCATACAATTTATTACAAGAGAACCATTTCGACGAACATGTGCACCAAACAATTCAATCGATGATGATAATCATGATGATGGTGATGAAACGAAGAAATCAAAAAATCAACAAAATGATTGGTCAAAAGTTGTGAATATAACATTCCTATCGATACCATTATCATTTGTAACTGGTCTTACATTTTCAATTATATGGTATAAATTTTTTGAAAGACCTGAACATTTACTTTATGAATATCAATGGGCAATTATGTCGATATATGTTTCAGTGATTATCGAATCAATGGCCGAAACATTTTTCATTTATGGACAACGATATGATTATATTCGATTAAAAGTAATTGTCGAAGGAATCTTTCAAACTGTTCGTTGTTCATTATTAGCATTATTTGTTTATATTTCACCTGAACATTCTGTATTTGGTTTTGCAATAGCTCAATTGATTGCTTCAACAATTTATTCACTTACATATTTTAGTTATTTTTTATTTAAAAAGAAAATACCAATGACAACATTTTTACCGAATTTTCTTAGTGATAAAGATGATAATAATGAATCGTCGTCGTCATCATCATCATCATCATCATCATTGTTGGAAACATCATTAACATTTTTCTATAATTCATTATTGAAACAATTTCTTACTGAAGGTGAACGTTATATAATGACAATGTTTTCGGTAATTAGTTTTGCTGAACAAGGTGTTTATGATGTAATCAATAATCTTGGTTCATTACCGGCAAGAATTATATTTCAACAAATTGAAGAAAATGGTTATATTTTATTTTCAAGCCTTATCAAACGTGATCTAGATACTAGTCAACAGATAACAAAAATTCTAAAATCATTATCAATTTGTTCAAATCTAACAAAATTAATGGCCATAATTGGTTTAACATTATTTACATATGGATATCATGGTGCATCCATTGTATTATCCGTTTATGGTGGTCAAAATTTTATCAATGGATCATTTGGACAATTAGCCATTCATCTATTTCAATGGCATTGTATTTATATGATATTTATTGCTATCAATGGTATATTAGAATCATATTCATTTGCAGTAATGAATACACGGCAATTAAATCGATTCAATACAAATCTATTAATAATATCAATTATTTTTACAATAATTTCATTGATAATTATATCATATGTTGGTAGTGTTGGTTTTATTATGGCTAATTGTTTGAATATGATGACCAGAATTATTGTCAGTTTATTATTTATTGGAAATATTTATCCAAATTATTCATTATGGATATTCATACGACAAACACGACCAAATTTTCATACAATCATATCATATGTACTAATATTTATTGGTCTTTCAATTGTATATCGTTGGTTAGGATTAGCCGATATATTTCTATGGTCAAATGCAATTTTATTCATCATAATCAATGTAATAATAATTATTTGTCATTTTATAATAATTATTTATTTTTTTGAAAAAGAATTATGTTTATTTGTACGAAATGAATTATTATTTTTCAAATCTTTAAAAAATAAACAAAATTAATGCTTATTATTAAGCATATGTTATAATTTGAATTTAACCGGATATTTGATCTTTCAAACGATAATCAATCATCGATGATGATGGTTGATGATGACAGTTTCACTTTCATTCACCATATGTGATTATCATTAGTAACATCAGAAAAAAAAAGTTTTGTCGATAGAAAATTGTTTTTGCATTCATAATTCTGATGATGATCATGAATATCATTCGAATTGACAAGCAGACACAAACATTATGCCGACCACAAGACAATCGGAAAATCGAAATCAAGAAAATGAACAAAAATTTTATCATCATCATCGTATGATTGCAAATGCACGTGAACGTTATCGTACCGAATCGGTAAATATGGCATTTCAACGATTACGTTGTTTATTACCAACAATTCCATCCGATCGAAAATTATCCAAAATTGAAATCTTACGTCTAGCTTCATCATATATACGTCATTTGAATAATATCTGTATAGCTATGTAAGTGATTCACAGTCAGTCGAAATCTTCTTTGATAATTTTTTGAATGTTCAATTCATATTTATTTAGATCACAACAAATATCGATAGAAAATATTTGTTCACGTTTTGAATGTTTGGAGAATTCCCAACAACAACAACGATCAGTTTGTACATTTTGTATAACAACAACAACAACAACTTCAATGATCAATGGCTACAATAATAATGATGATGAATTTGAATGGAATTTAAAAAATGAAATTTTATTCACACAGCAGCAACAACAACAACAAGAATCAGATAACTATGACGATGAACAACAACAACAATCATCATCATATTTTATTATGAACAAAGGAAATGATACAAATAAATCATTGAATGTTGAACAAAATGAATTTGAAACAATTCAATGGCAGCAAATAAATTTTGATTATTTTGATTAATATCGATAGAAAAATAGAAAATCAAATCGTTGAAAAAGTAATAATATGACCAACAAAAAAAAATCATTCATCCGTTGATTTATTCAAATCATAAAGACCATTGATAAAGATTAATTTTTTTTCATGAACTTTCCGATCCAAAAATTCACGTAATTCATGCATGGATAGATTTTCAATTTCCGGTGATTGCATGTTAAACATTTTTAACATTGAATAAATACGATCCAATGAAAGTGCATGTAAATTTTTTAACATATTATCAATAAAATTCCAAAATAATTGTAAATTATTTTCATTTTTACGTTTTCGATCATTCATTATACCATTACCATCATCATCATCATCATCATTATCATCATTATCATCTTGATTATCGATAAACATCATATCAAATTCTTGTGTACATTGTTGTTGTTGTTGTTGTTGTTTCATTATTGATGATGATGATGATTGTGGTGGTGGTGGCGGTGGTAAATCTTCAACAACAATATATGAATCATCATCACCATCTTTACATTCTTTTATGATGCCAATATTTTTCCAATAAGATAAATTTCTTCGTACAACCGATGGTAAAACATCCAATTCTTGTGCAATGGCAGCCATTGACCATTGATTTTTTTGTTGAAATAAATGAATTATTGCTGCCTGAATTGGACGAACCGAATATTCATGACTACCGTTACGAAATTCTAATTCCAATTTTACCGTACCAAGTTGTTGTATCCAATTAACTGTACGATTTCCTTTTAATGTTTCGAAAATTTTTTTATAATTATCAAACATTTTTTGTATTTCTTCGGGTAGACGAAAATTTTTAAATTCATTATTAGTAAATCCAAGATTATCCGGCCAAAATTGTTCGGATAATATTAGGCCATTCATTTTGATATTGGCTGCTTTGATTTCATCAAAACCATTAATCTGTTGATTAATACGTTCCGAATCTTTAAGATCTTTTAACATTACTTCACAATTATGTAGTTCAGATTCACCAAAACGTAATGATAATAATTCTAGATTTCGTAATTCAGATTCAAGATTAATTTCAGGTGTAAGAATTAATTTCTGTGCTAATAAACGTTGATATTCTTGTACGAATAAATCTTTACTATCGAAAATATTGATCAACATTGATATAATATCAGAATTAGCTAGATCTTTGCTCATTCTTGAAACACCGATTGTTTGTGGTACCCATGATCGCCATGTATCCATAACGTATTCATCTTCATCATTAATCAGTTTATTAAAATGTTCAGGATCATCAAAATTAACGATACTATCAGTAGTAAGAATGTTTATAATACAACGAACAGTATCTTCACGTGTTTTTAGATAATTACGTATTGGATCACAAACAATTTGTAGAATTATACCTTGTGGATCTAATAATCGTAATGCTTTGATTGTTGTAAGATATGCTTCAATTATACTACTGGTTGCTACACCTGCATGTAATAAACGTATTTCTAATGAATTTTTCAATGAATAGGTAAATATTTCACGATAAAATGGTTCTAATTGTATACATTCATGTAGATCACAAATAGCTGGTTCGCTATATGGAAAATCAATGATTATATCAAATAATTGTTTCATACGATTAAAAATATAGGTATTTGTTAGAAAACTACGAATATTATTAAGATTTAAACTTTCAATCTGATCGAACAATACAAGACTGGTATTTTTGAGAAAAAGATTATTCAATTCACCACCATTATCATTATACATTGGTACATCTTCTTCGGATGTTGTTGTCTTTTCAATATTTTGATTATATTGTTCAAGTGCAATAAACATATCCGTAATATTTTCATTCGATCGAATAATGTAAATAATTTTGATCCAATCAATAATACTGTTTTCCAACCATGAACATGTTATACTTAAACAACTTATATCAAAATTTTTATCTTTACAAAGATTCCATATTTGTCGTTCAATCATTTTGAATAAAACACTTTTAATAATATCATCACAAAGTTGATAAAATATGCCCAATTTACGTAATATATTTAGAAATGGAATAAAACCTTTGCTTATACTTGTACAATAACATTCATTATCAATATTATCATTACCGGTACGTTTGAATCGACAAATTTTACATTTATTGAACAACGATTGTTTTGGACTATTTGATTCGTTCTTCTGTTTTTTACCAACAATATGATCCAAAACTTCGAATGAAAATGCAAATGTATTGAACAGAAAACTGGAAAACAATAATGGCATATCTGCAATTAATGCTGTGTAAAGAATTTCATATAGTTTTCGAATCTGTTCATCATTCGAATCGAACAATAAATCAAGTAATGGTCGATACAGCCAATTCGAAATACAATCATTAAGTTGATTGAATTTATGAAAAATTAATCGATGTTGACATTGAACATTTTCTTCATATTTCGATGAATTCTTGTTAAAATCCAACCAATAATCTTTTAGCATAGCGGTTAGATAACAACGATAATTATAAATATAATATTCTTGTAATGTTTCGATGGCATCGGAATCTGTTTTCAAATTTGTTATGATTTGTTGACATTTTAACCATAAATCAGACTTGGAATCGATGTATATTTTCTGTAAAAAAAACAACAAATCAATGTTTATATACAGATATGATTCCAAAAAACAAAACCTACCGAAGGATATTTCGATGAAATATTCAATGAATTAATTAAAAATTCAAAATCGTTATCCATTCTTAAGATTTTTTCAATTGCAAAAAAAAACGAATTCAAATCGAAATCAGAACAGTGCTCACTATTTTCACACAAGTGGGCTTCAAAATTAAAATTGAAAGAAAATTTTTGCAAATTATAATTTAAAATTTCAAAATTAGTTTATTTATTTTAATCTGAAAGATTAGTAAAATGTATTCGTTTTGATGAAAATAATTCTTTTTCATAAACATATTCTGCAAAATCGATTATTAATTGCCATATTCGATATATCAATGCCCCGACAAACAAAAAATTGAATAGAAAAAGTATAATATTGATGGCATCGAAAAATATGACCAAATCTTCTTCGTTCTTATGGATCAAATTTCCCAGACCAATCGATTCATTAAATTTCATTACAAAAAAAAGAAAAAGAAAAACGATCACAATGAAATTCAATAAATCGCCGAAAATCAACGAAATTTAACTGACCAAAATAAAAAATTCGATTAGCAAATACGAATGTACTGCCATCTTTGATTTTGTTATTTAATCATCGAAACGTTTTGCCAATTGTCAGATGAAATTAAATTTTCACAACAAATAATTTCGAATTTATTTTTTATTTTTTTTGAATCAAAATCATCAGCCATCAATATGAGTAACCCATGGTTATTGGATACGATCGATAAAAATGTTGAAAAATCTAAACATTGCTTTGATGATAATTTCAAAACGATTAATTCAACCAACAATGGAGAATTGAATGAAAATGGCCTTTGTTTACCCGATTCACAAAAATATCTTCATTATCTAGGTTAGTATTGAGTATTATTTTGTTTTCGATTCTTCGAATTTATAACACCCTGAATTCATTTAGAAAATCGTCTCCATAAATTAAATTCCGGTCCACAACAAACGGATAAACAGGCTAAAAAAATGCTCAAAGATTTAGCATTAAAACGTGATGGTTTATTCGATTTCATCGATACAATAAATTCCGATACAATTTCCATAACCGAAAACAATGATAGTCCAAAGAATCCAATTTCAACAGCCATAACCAATACGAATTTATATGATACAATGGAACGAAAACTTTTTCCACATTTACATTCAATCGATCCTGAAGAATCGAAAAAATTGCTTAATCATGATATTCTAAATTCAATCAATTCAAAACAACAAGATAATCAAAAAGACAATGATCCATCAAATGACAATGAAAAGAATGAAGAATCCAAATGAATTCCAATTTTTTTGAAAAATTTGTCAAATTTTATTTGAGAAAAAAATCATAAAAAACGAATGTAGCGCCATCCTTAGTCGAGCAATCGGTTGGGTATACTTTTTTGGTTAAAATAGTCAGTATTTTCCTTTTCCTCTCACGTTTTTTTACACTGTTTCATTTTCACATTGTGATTTGGCATTCAGTTTTTTTTTGGTAAATTCATTTAAAAAATTTGTTTTTTGTAAATAAAAATTCATTTTTTCTACTTTTTTCAGATTTAAAATCAGGTAATAGTGAAAAAATGCCTAAAGAAATTAAAGAAATAAAAGATTTTCTTCTAACCGCACGTCGTAAAGATGCGAAATCGGTAAAAATCAAGAAGAATAAGGATAATGTAACAAAATTTAAAGTTCGTTGCTCGAAATATCTTTATACATTGGTCATCAATGATAAGGAAAAGGCTGAAAAATTGAAACAATCATTACCGCCTGGTCTTCAAGTTAAAGAAATCTAAAATTCGATTCGATTTTTTTTTGTAAACAAAATGTAAAAGTTTTTTTTTGCATCAAATAAATTTTCAAAAATTTCAATTCTTTTTTATTTTGTTCAATTCAATACATACAACAATTACAAAATTTTACAAAATTCTCCTTAGTATTTATATTAAAAACATCAAAATGAAACAAAAACATCAAATATGGTCGGAACGTTTGATATTGGTTCCCTATCGATCACATCATGTTAAACGTTATAATGAATGGATGCAAAATCCAGAGCTACAATATCTAACCGGTTCAGAACCATTAACATTAGAAGATGAATATAAAATGCTTGAATCATGGAATAATGATCCAGATAAATGTACATTCATTATTTTGGATCGTAAACATTATGAAATGGAACAAAAATTATTAAAAGATACGAATGAATGTGAAATTCAATCAATGATTGGTGATGTAAATCTTTATATTTATCTTGATAATGATAATGATGATGATGATAATGAACAACGTTCAATGGCTGAAATTGAAATTATGATTGCCGAACAATGTGCACGACGTAAAGGATATGGTCGTGAAGCAACAATGTTAATGCTTAAATTTGGTTACGAAATTTTGGGTATCAGAAAATTTCAGGCAAAAATTAAAACATCCAATATTCATTCACAACGTATGTTTACAGAAATATTTGGATTCGTTGAATGTAGTCGTTCGACTGTATTTGATGAAATTACCTATGTCTGTAATCTGATTGATTGTGAAGGCGGTAAACCAATTAATCATCGTTTACGACAAATGTTTGATGAATCTGATTGTCATTATAAAATCTGTTAAATTTATTTCAAATAATAATTCTTCTTTTTTTTCAATAATAAAATATTCATAAATTTTGTAAACAAAAAAAATTAATCATCATGATTACGAATATTTGGATCAAATTCAGGATTTAAAAATGGATCATTATCGGCCGATTGTCGACCATATTTGATAAAATAATGAATAATAATAAATAGAAATAGTAATAGAATAAATCCATAGATGATGAATTTTTTATAAATATTCAAACTTGACATTGTACGCTGATTTTTTATGTATGTTGATCTTGACCTAATAAAATAAAAAAAATTAAATGATTAGTTATCATTGGAAAAAAAGTACTTATTTGATAATCAATCAATACCTTAACCAACGTGAAAAAAATTCAACCGGTGATTTTGTTCGATATTTATCTTCAGCAATTTCATTTACATTTGATAATAATGGTCGACGTGATTCATTGTCGAATTTTGATCTCATCGATGATGTTGAACCAAAACTTAGATCACTATTTGTTGATATGAAACTAGTTACATTGCTTACATTGATTGGTTGGGTAGCCATTTGATAATTATTCATTTTATTTGCATTATATAGAGAATTATGTAGAATTCTTGGCGGTAAATTTTCTTGACGATTTTCGATTGTTGTCATCGATGATGAGGGCATTGTAATTTTAGTCGAATCATCAAGTAATGATGAAAAACTTGCCTGACCATTCATAGCCGATGATGATTGGGAATTTTCACCGCTATTCAAAAGGCTAATACCTTCTTTTGCCCATTCGAATGTGGCAAGTAATTGTTCCAATTGTTGAGTTATCGGTGTACGAGATGTAAATGAAAAAATTGGTTTCGAACAAATCGGACATGTATAACCGGCCGGTGCTGTATTCGGCGGAAATTGTTGGGCATATCTGTCAAGACATTCAAGATGAACAATATCTTTACATGTTTTTTTTTTAAAAATTAAACAATTAGAAATTTGAAAATCAAAACAGAATTCAACAAAAAACATACGATAACAGCAAAGTCTAACACATTGATTTGTATTTAAATCAGTTCGACATAGATTACAAAGATTTTCATAACTACTATTATCTAACCAGTTTAAATAAGGTCCAACGATACACTGAAAATTAAATAGACAAGAATATTTAGATTATTTCAAATTTTTGTGGAAAAATTTTCTACAAAAAAAAAATTAATACCGTTCTATGTTGGCCATCAATCATACAATATTCACAGACATTTACTTGATGTTCGAAACAAAATTGATTGGTCACTTTACGTTTTGGACATTTACAAAGGCCCATTTTTATTTGTGTTTGTGTGTTATGGATATGTAAATGGATTGGAAATTATCATGAAAAAAAAGAACAAATCGAAACGAAAAATGATGATGATGATTACGCGTACACGTCCAAAAAAAACAACAAACAATTATCGATCGAAGCGCACCAAGTGTCATTCGATTAACAACATTATAAACAAATCAAGAAACATTTTTGCTCACCACATTTTATCATTTTTTTTTTCAAAATTAATTTTCGAAGCAAATAAAAATGTCTTTAGTAAATTATGGCTATAGTGACGATGATGATGAAGATGATGGTAATGATAAGAATGAATCTGATGTAATTTCCAAAACTTTACCAATCGAATCGAATGAAAAGAAATCAACAACCGACAATTCAATTGCCAATGATGAAATAAAGTCGATACGTCCCTCATCATCAACACTTTCTTCATCATTAACGTTTAAACATCTTACGAAATCAAATTCTCGAATTCAAATCAAAGCTTTTGATGATAATTTAGCTTTGATGAATCAACAGCCAAATGGCCTAGTTGATTCCGATGATTCTGATGATGATGAAGAAAATCGTGCACGAAAACGAATGAAACGATCGGAAAAAGGTTCAAGTTTAATATCAATGTTACCAAAACCTAAAAATGCAAAAACAAGCCACAATAAATCATCAACAATAAATGAACCAACAACATCTTCTTTGTTGACATCATTAGTTCCTAATTCAGTTTCGAATCGTGCGAAAGTATCATCATTAACTTCAAAATTGAAACCAGCCAAAAATGAAAATAATTCGAATTTCTTTTTTGCCGATCCAGACAATGATGATGATGACGACGATGATGATGAGAATGGTGATCATATTAAAATGATTCCAAAACCTTGGATAATTGAAGATAATAAAGATGATGTGCTCAATCCAGTAGTAGCAACAGCCCCAACATTATATCATCAAGCTGAAGAAGAAGAAGAAGAAACAGCACCAATTTATGGCCCATCCAAACCAATCGAACAAGAAGAAGAAGAAGAAACTTATATTGATCCAAATGATGATATAACTTATAAAAAATTAATTGCATCAAAATTCGATGATAATGTTGATAATATTCGAATTGTCGATGTAAATGTACAAAAACATTTATCCGAAAATAAAGATTGGTTGAAAAATATTTCATTGGAAAAAGATACTGTTGATGAAGCATTAGAATCAAAAGCACCAAATTCAACAGCTAAACGAAAAAATCAGATTACATTTCTTGCTTATCAGGCTAAAAAACGTGAATTAGAATTGAAAAATCAATGGGCACAGAATCGTCTATCAAAATCACAGACAAGAGCTAAATATGGATTTTAAAATTGATGAAAAAAAAAGATTTGTCTTTTTTTTTATTTTTAATTAAGATTTCTTCTTTGTCAATGTGTAAATAATATTGTTTTTTTTTCTTTCTTTCTCTTAATAGATCAAATAAATTTATCCAAAATTTTCTTGCGAAGAATATGTTATGTAAAGAAAACCATCTTTATCTTTATGTTCTTTATATATTTCATTCATTGTACGTGACATTTCGACAACAATTGTTTGATTATTAATCATAAAATGAAGTGATTGTCGTCCATTTAAATTCATTCGATTTCTGTTTGTTTTTTTGGGGGGGATTTTTAAATGCAATTATTAATCAATTTGATTCATTCATTCCTTGGTTTATTCACCTGATTACGGTCATAAATCTTCCCATTGTCAATTCTTGTGGAACTAAAAATTTTGTCTTATCCAATCTGGGTAGATATCGTTCTTTTGTTGATCGTTCAACAATTATCTATTTTCAAAGATTAATTGTTTTCGATATGAAATATTCAAATTTCTTACCGGAATTTTATTTGGAAATTTTGCCCGAATTCCCAATACTTCTTCACGACGCATAGCTATGTAGATTATTTAAAAAAAAAGAAAGAAAAATTATTCAATTTTGAATTTTAGAAAAGGAAAAAGTACAATACTGACCAAATGATTTACGTTGTTTAAAAGTTTTTTCATTTTCTTGACGATTTTTTCTTAAAAATGTTATATTGAATGGCATTTTTTCCGTTGATTTGATGATGATGATGATGGAAAAAGTGAAAGTCGAATTGTTGAAAAATCGTTGAAAACAAAATGAAAAAGGAATGGGAAACAAAAATGACAATATTTACATTTGATGATACAAATCTTATCCGTTGTTTTTTTTGGTACGATGATAATTTTACTTTGTTTGAAGAACACAAAACAAAAATCAACTTTTTTTTCTGGAACTGAAATGAACTGGAATCTGGGCGCCAAAAAACAAATGCCACAAAAAATTTTTTTCACTTATTGCAAATTCTGGCAGCGCATGATCCCCACAGAATATTCTGTTCGGACTCGAAATACACAAATTGATAAACAAATGAATATTTGATGAATTTCATAATGATGTTTTGATTTTTTGGAATCAATCAGTCAACAGAAAACAAACAAAACAAAACAAAATAAACAATGTTAAAATCATATAAAACATTATTGTCAATAAATTTGATTGAAGAACAAATTGATAATGATGTTGATGTTGATTTGATTGATGATATGATTGATATCAATAATAATAATCGATATTTATGGCGTTGGACATATCCATCGATTGATAATGATGTACGATTTTTTATTGAAAAACGTTTATCATCACAATCATCATCATCATCATCGCTGTCAACAATATTTACATATGATTATGGTATGTGTGATATAATGATGAAAATTGAAAAACAAAATTGAAATTTTCTTTCCACCAAAAAAACTTTAGGAAAATTTAGTTTCTTCAAAATACGTGAAAAATTCATCTATATTCTACAGAATTATCAACAACATTCAAAACGTTTTAGTTTAGTATTGTTAACCAAGGATTTTTATCCAAAATATTATCAAAAATTATTGAAAATATTTGCCGAAATATTTATTCAATCAAATGATTCGATTGCTAAATTATTAGATAAATATTTAACATTATTGATTACGGATCGTATTGAAATGATGTTAACAGATCCGGAACGACAAATTGATTTTCATTTTCAACAACATAATGATGAATTTAATGAAAAACAAAAATTACAATCAAAATTACGATCAATAATAAAAATGTTTTCATTGGATATAATTCTTATCTATACAGCATTATTATTGAAAAAAAGAATTATAATCTATGGTAATGATTCACAATTATTATTTGAATTTGCAATAACATTACCATTATTCATAAAACATCGTCAAAATATTCTTAATGAAGAATTTATACCAAATGTTGATCTACAATGTCCGATACAGATTAATGATTTACGTTATCGTCAAAATTTTATTTCAACATTTAATGATCCACGTATTGAAGAACATGAAGATTTATATGATGTTTACATTAATCTTGCTACAATCGAAATAACTATTTCACATCGAGCAAAAGAAATATTTATGATGACCAAAATGCATAAAGATGTTGCTATTACATTTGTTCGTATAGCTGAAAAACAAGGTTCAACCGATCAAGATGTTGTTGATGAAATTTCGAAAAAAACTAACGAATTATTGAATACTCTTTACTCGTCGTCTGCAATGGATGATGATTATGATAATGATGATAATCAAAAGAAAATTGTTATAAAAAAATCTAGATTAAAAGAAAAATTTTCATCACCAAATTTGCAGCAATTTTTTTTCAATCTTGCATTAGCTGAATCAATATCGATTATTTAATAAAACAAAAACAAAAAAAAAATTTTATTTCTTTTCTTTTTTCTTTCTTTCTAAGTTCTTATTATACGAATCTTATTATTCGATATTAACAAAATGGATGCTTTATTTGATGGAATTGAATAACCGGATGAAGAAAAAATGGTTATCACTTTACCTTGTGAATTGAAATTAAATCCATCGGTAAATACTTCATGTGCACGTATAATAAAATCGATAGCATTTTTTCTTAAAAAATTTTTCACTGCATTTTCACTAAATAAATATCCAGTACCACGTTTAAAATTTCGACAAAATCCTTTTTCATTATTATTAATGAATTTACGCTGATTTTCTGGTAATAATAATAATTCTTCATAATTGATTGGATCATTCCACCTTTGAGAAAAAAATTTTAAAAGAAATTTTTGAAAAAAATTTGATTTTCAAATCAAAGAAAAAAGAAGAAAACTTACATCATTTCCCATGCAGCACTATTCTGTTGAAATGGATTTGATAATGTTATTGGAATATCATTCAATTGTTGAATAGTTGTAACCGATACTGGAATACCACCATGAACACCAAATATACAATCATCAATAACGGCAGATAATGGCATACAATCAAAACAATCATTAATTAGATCCCAAATTTCAACATTTAAACGTTTTTGACAATCGGAAAAAAATGTAAATCGTCTTTGTACATCACGTATTTCATGATTACCACGTAACATAAAAAAATTATTCGGTGCCAATATTTTGAAACAGAATAAAAATATAATCACTTCAATACTATGATTACCACGATCAACATAATCACCTAAAAATAAATATCTTCCTGTATTTAAAAATGGTGAACATTTCCAAAAATATTGTGAATATGCAATCAAATCTTTAAAATTACCATGTAAATCACCAAATACATAACATGGTGATTTTATCTTTAAACAACGTTCTTCTTTAGCAAATATTTCCATTACAGTTTGTGCAATAATTCTTATTGTTTCCATCATTTCCATTTGTGTTGGAAAAAACCAATTTCTTAATAATTCTTCATGATTATTATTACTATTATTACTACTAGATGTTCGAAATATTTCTGTACCGAATAAAAATAATGATAAACGTTGTAAACGTACTAAAACATCAATGGTCAATAAATATATATCATCATCCGGTATATCAACAATAAATTCTAATGTTGATCGTTCGGAAAATGGTTCCAATCGTATTATATCACATATTTCACCATCCAATGATAAACAGATTACTTGATTGGAAAGTGCAAAACGATTTTTTGAACAATTCTCACATCGAATATTATTATTATTACCAATATAATAATTATTGATATTTAAATCTGTATAATATGGAAATGTTGATTGAAATGTTTGTCGATAACAAAATGTAACCGATGCATATGTTAATACATTGAATGGCATACGATATAATAATTGCCACATATGTGGTAATTTTGTATATGATTTTGATAAAACATTCATAATTTTTTCCAATTGTGTTATAGTTACAATATTGTTTGTCGAATATTTTTGCATCATATTATTAATATAATCTTTTCGACTTTTTTCTTCATTCATCCATGCCGGTATTAATGAACGATCGTAAAGAAATGAATCAAGTTTTTCATAATAATCTTTAAATAAATTATACAATTCTTCATTATTTAATTGATTATCATTATCAAGATCATAATAATTAAATAATGATTGAAATCTTTTTTCATTCCAATATGGACTACGATGATTTAAATCATTATCATCTAACATTAATATAATACCAATGATTAATTGTTGAAAATCAATGGCAAAATTATTATTACGATCAAATGATCTATACATCATACGTAATTCATTTGGTGTAAAATGATTCAATATGGATAATTTGAATGAAAAACTAATGAATGCTGGAAATGACATTGTCTGTGATGGATAACAATGTACAAGATATTCATTATAGATTGATTTTCTTTCCAATTCTGTCCAATCGATTACCGAATCAATTAAATCATTGATATTTTTATCATCAAATAGTAGAATATCTTCGAATTGTAATTCTTTTAGAATATTACAAGGCTGCTGTTTCTGTTGTTGTGAGTTATGGAGAATGTTGAACGGTTCTATACCCCAGACAAGAATATTTTTTGACATTGGATCTTGAAGATTTTTCAGATCACTTTCATTTAGCCAACGAACTGTATCGCTATCAATACAGCATTTTTCTTTTTCATCCGTTTCAATAATTGTTTTGAAAATAAAACGAGTGAAAAATTGTTCAGTTTTTGGTTGTCGTATGCGCCATTCATCAATTAATTCAGGTGAAGAAAATTTCCCTTTTGGTAATGACATTGTATTTGATTCACAAAATTCATTGAAAATCTTTTCAAATGAATCAGTTACAATATTAAATCTGGTGATCGGCAAATAGTAACATTGATTCGGCATTTTTTGTAATGCAAGCCGTTTATGTTTACTACATTCGATTGCAATTAAACAACAATCATATATATCAACATTGTTTGAAATTTTCTGATCAAATGGAAAACTTGCTGCTATCGGTGATATTTGTTTAGATTTAATATCAGCATCTTCGATGCTTACAACAACAGTAATGCTGTCTTCGACTCCAAATCCAAGGCTTGTTGTACTTGGATATTCTGTTAATTTATCCGATAATGGATCTTCTTTTTGTTTTTGTTGCAATGGTGATGATGATGATGATGATGGCGATGATGATGTTGATGTTTTATAAATCAATGATGAATCATCACTATTAATTTTTTTATCATTTGACATTTCTCGTTCGATTACGAAACAAACAAATTTTATTGAAAAAATTTCGATTTAAATATTGCCAAAACAAATACTAATGAGCCATTTATTACAATTATAATTAAATTAACATTTACATTATAATATAATTGAATTTAATAAAAGAAAATAATTATAATTATTAAATAAATTTAATTTTATCATTAAAAATTTTATCATCAAAAATTTCTCCTTGTTTTTGTAGATTTTCAATGAATTGTTGATTAGCCGGATTATTTTTCAATGCATTACGTATGGCAAATATTGTCCATTGTAAAATGAATGGATTATTACGATCAATTTTGGCTGAATCCAATAACGCTATAAATCGACCAGATATTCGTAATTGTTCTTGTGCTTGCATATTTTCGTGTAAATAATTTGCAATTAAACCAATTATATTTCGTTTGAAACCAAAAACAGATTCATTTTCGGCAAAACATTTGTTGTTGTTGTTTGTTGAACGAAGATCTTGTGTGAAAAAAATGGATTTAGGATCATTACTCATCGAATGAAAACATGATAGAATATCGAGTAAATTTTTAAAATAATCATCATTTTTCTTTAAAATATTTTCATATGATTTAAATGCAATAATTTTCAATAGAAAAGAAGAAATTTTCGAAAAAACTATTAAATCTTCAGAATTGGAATCAAAATTTGATTTGTTAAAATATTCACGTATTTGATGATGAAATAATTGATTAATAAATTTGACAAATTCTTCTGGTAATGGACATAGTTGACAGTCATACAGATTAATACAATCATCTGGTTCAATATTTTTAATTGTTGATATTTGTTTTTGTTTTTTACATTCATCATCAACAAATTCCATACAAATATCAAGCAATATCATTCTTCGTTTCGATGATATAATACAGTATAAATTCTTAGCAAATTCTTCATATTTCAAAGCAAGAAAAAATATCCATAATGACCATTCGGATAATTCAATTTCAACATGATCGAATAATGGATTCCAAAAATTATTTGTATCTGGTACAATTTCATCGTTCAATATTCTTTCGAATCGAATGGAATCATTGGAAAAAGATCGAAACAATAATGCCGTATAAACTAATGTTATTTTTTTCAATAGATCTTGATGATCAACAGTGAAGGATTGATTTGTTTCAATTTTATAAAAATTTAGAAATCTAAGTAAAAAAAAATGAAAATTTTTATTATGATTAAACAAAAATCAATGAAACTCACTTATGGAATTTTTTATTTAAAATAAATGAATAAAATTTCGATAAATTTCGAAATTCTGATTCATTTGGTTGTAAATTCAAAATATTATAAAAAAATTGAATAGAACGTAATATAAACATTAATGAAACATTATCATCATCATCATCAATAATAGTGTTGTCATTGGATACAATTTTAGCAGTGAAATTATCAAATTTTTGTTCAAATATTAATTGAATTGTTTCGATGAATGAAAATTTTTCATCACAGATAATTTGAAAAAAAGAACGACGAAAATTATCATCACCGATATTAAAGGCAGCCGAATTACGTAAAAATATCATCGAATTATTTACATTATCATTAAATTCAATCGAATTTTGTCCATTCAATATATTATTGAATATTTCGGATAAATTTTCAATATGATTTTGAATTTCATTTAATGATTGTTGATCAGACATTTTTCGATTGTAAAAAATGATGAATTTGGATTGTTGTTCCATAAAACGTAATTGAACACACGTGATTGAATATGATTAACAAGAATAACAATTTCATATGTTGAAAGTATTTGATTCAGTTGTTGACCCATGGTTTATCATTTTTATCATATTTAACCAAAGGAAGATCATACGGTAATGGAAATGAATAAGGATTATTATTTTGGCTATCAATACTGAATGAATTTCGATTTATCTGAAAAAAAATTTCGTAAATTATGAACGAAATAAATAAAAAAAAAATCTAAAACAAACCATTAATTTAGGTAGAAATAATACGCCAAGTTCGTAATTTAAGATTTTCAATTTGGATCCATTTCCTATTAATTGTCCCCATGCAGCTTTTGATAGATTAGCCGATGTAAGACAAAACCATGACATTTCTTTATTATCAGGTGAAAGACGAAGATATGTTTTTATATGTGGCATAACATCATTACGATTATTGATGGTTGCTTTCCATTTATGACAAAAATCATTCAAATATAATTGTTTATCTGCTGTTGATTTTCGATATGGAAATGAACTTCCAGTATCTTCTATTGAATTTTTTATATTTTCAATCGAAGGATATATACATTTAATTTCTGGTTTAATACCACTAAAATCATTATATAATGAAGATAATGAAGCTGAAAATTGTCCGGTTAACCATGATTCTTTTGTTGGACCTAATGATCCAATACTACTGAATTGACAAATTATTGGCCAATTATTTGTTTCTTCTGTAGGTCCAAATCGGTTGGTTTTGAATATTTTTCTGATTTTTAAATGACCAAATGATTCACGATCATTATTTTGATGTGAATCGGGTACCGATGCTATCAGGAAAACATTGATGCTTGAGAAATCATAATCACCAATGATTTGAATCCATTTATCAACAGTTGTTTTCTTATAATGAGTTAAATATTGTATCAGATCATTTTTAAAATTTGTTTTCGATGTTTGATTTTCTTCTTCTTCTTTGTTTGATTTCTTTGGTAACTTTTGACTAATCCAAATTCCTTGAGTAACAGCATAAAAATCCATTGGTATCATATTAGCTGTAAGAATAATAATACGAATAGAATCTTCATAACGTAAAATTATCATTTTAGAATGATGACAAGAAAATATCCCACCCATTTTAACGGGACACAATTTTACATTCGAATATGATAATGATTCAATTTTTAATAGATCAACAAAATTATCATCATTTCGATCACCAAAAACTATATCAATCGGATTCATTTGACAATTAATAGGATATTGTGCAATAAGCCATTCAAGATCATAAATATAATTAAAATGAATCGATTCCAGAATTTTTCCATTTTCATTCGATAATATAGCTTTAAGGCTGATTGTTTTATAACGATTCGATAAACGATTATTTAATCGATCGGGTAGATAATTTAGAAAAAAACCATAACATTCATGGATTACATCATCGATTGTAGATCGTTTTTTATGTTTGTTTGTAATTGCTTGATTATCACCATCATTATTTAGTTGACGTTTATTAGATGATGGATGACTAAATTCGTTTAAATGTAATGGATTTTTACGATAACATTCATTGCCGTATGGACAAATTGGTTTTTTATTAATTTCGGTGGTCATAATTGAAAAAAAAGAGTTGGACAACATAAACAAATGAAAAAAAAATTCACAAAAAAAAACTCAATGTGTTTTGGGTCCGATAGAGGGTGTACATACACATACATACAAACATACGTTTGCTGAATTGAATTTTGAATTTGACAATTGAAAAAATGATTGAAAAAAAATGATGAAATATTTTCTTTTGTTCATGGATTATTCATATAGATGTCTTCATTAACAGTATCAATATAATCATTTGGATTTGGATATGAATCGGTTGAAATGTTCAATTCTAATTGTCGTTTTTTTGTATGTGGTAATTTAAAATGTCGTATACGTATATGTGTTTTCATATTTGTTTTCTGTTCACAAGCATAACCACAATCAGGCCATTTACAACGAAAACGTTTAAAATTTAAATGTATACGAATATGATCTTTCAATGATTTAGAATCATAAAGACTTTTACCACAATCCGGCCATGAACATTTATATTTCCCTGTATCGGTGGTGGTACACTGTTTAGATTTTTGATGTAATTTTAAATGTTTTGAAAGATATTGTTTTGATACCATACGATTACAGCCATCGAATTCACATTTTGTAAATGCATGTTTAGTACGTTTATGATATTTAAATATTACACGTGAATTACAATAAAAATCACATCCATCAACTTCACAATGAAAATCATTAAATTCATGTACCAAATAGATATGTTTACGTAATCGATGACTATCTTGAAATTTTCGATCACATTCTTTACATATTTTTGATTCTTTTTCATGTTCAGTATTTTGATGTCTTTTTAGATTAAACCTTTTTTTATCGAATAAAAAAAATGAATCAATTCAAACACTGAATGAAACAAACATAAATTGTTACTTACTCGTTTACAAATTCTTTTTCACATTTTCCAAATGAACATTTAAAAATTTCATGTATTCTCATCATATGTTTTTCAAGATCATAAATAGATCTAAATTGTCCACCACAATCTTTAAAGGAACATTTATGTATTTTTATTTTATCACTATGAAACAATAATTCATGATTTTTAAGTCTTTCCTGTGATGTACAACGAAAACGACAACCAAATGAACAATTATATTGTATGGCCATTCCAAATAAATCGATAGTTGAATCATCATCAACATTATTATCATTATTAGTTTCATTATTGTTGTTAGTTTCTGGTACGATAGCATCTTGTTTTGGTTCTTCTTCGATCGAATTATCCGGACCATTTTCTTCGTTCATTGAATTATCGGGACATTCGTCTTCTTCGTTTATTATCGAATTATCGGGACATTCATCATCATCTTCTTCTTCTTCTTCGTCCATCGAAGATTCTGATTCATCTTCTGAAGATGAAGACGATGTTGTTGGCTGTTTACGTTTTTGTGTTTTCTTTTTATTTTTACCACCACCATCATCAGTATTTTTAGCTTTTGATCTTCTTTGTTGTTCAACTTTTTTATTCAAATCAAATTCAATAAATTTTTTATTTGATCCATACGATAAATCAGTTTCTTGAATTAAGTCAACAATCAATTTATTTAGTTTATTTGATTTATTAGCCGAACTAGATTTAATTTTTTTAAACCATTTGTCACAATATTCAATACTTGCTATGAAATCATCTTTATCAGGATTTTCTTCAAGAATATTGTTAATTTCTTTAGGATAACGTTTCATCAGATATGTCAACATATGACGATAATGTAAAAGAATACGAATCAATCGACAATTACCTACGGTAAGAAAAACTCTTGGCATTTTTTAACGGTCTTTGTTTCTTTTTTTGCTTCGTTTGCATCAAAAAAAAAAAGAAATCAACGAATGAGATGAAAACAATGTTTTTTTCTCGTAAATTTTGTTCAAAAAAAAAATTCCCTCTCAAAAATAGAAATTACTCAAATTACCGAAGAAAAAAAAACTCAACACGTTCGAAAAATCGAATCCAAAACATTGTGATCCATTCGTAAACAATGTTTTTTTTTCGTTTTGTTTTCAAAATTGTAAACAAAAAAGGAAACGGAATAAAAATGAAAATGAAAATGTTTTCCTATCAATTTTTTTTATTTATTAATCAATAATAATAATAATAATCAAATATATTTATAATATTGCTTAAAATTTAATATTTTAAATACACAGGGTTTGTTTTTTGTTTTGTTTTTTTGTTCTTTGTTTTTTACTTACTTTTTTTTTAGCTTATAATAGAAAAAATAACAAAATTTATGTAACTTTTTATTTAAAATGGAAGAGATATTATAGATAGATAGATAGATAGATAGAGCTGATTGAGTTAATTAATTAATTAATTTTATAAGTGTTAAGCTTTTAAATAGGTGTAAACAGTAAGAGGTGTGTGTGTGTGTGTGGGTGATAAGTGTTATTTAAAACGACGGGAATGTTTTTTTCTAATTCTAAATGCACCGGATGATTGTTGAGTGAACCAGAAAACAAAAAAGAAATATTCATTCATCTGTGATGATGATGATGATAATTATCTTCATTGAACCATAAAAAATATCTATTATTTTAATATTACATAATACATTTTATATATTTATATAAAGAACGACGAAGATATTAATAATTAATTAAAAATTTTTTTATGAGAATTATCCAAGGGGAAATAGTAATAGTAATTGACGACAGATAGATAGAATATATCGATTGTTTGATTGTTTGATGGAAATCGATGGTATCGAATACTAAAAAATTCGAATCAATTTTGAAATGTTTGTTGATGATGATGGTGGCTCAACAGGATTCGATAATTAATTCGTTGCGTGTTTTGTTGTTGTTATTATTTCAACTAAACAAGAAGAATTGAAGAATTTTTCATCATAAAAAACAATTAATAAAAACATATAATGCGTGGGTGGTTTGTTTTTTGAAAAAGAAAATCTAATTCTGTGTAAGTGTGTGTGTGTTTTGATCACAATGTGATATTTTTCTTCGTTTTGTTTAATTGTTTGTTCACTATTCGACAATAATATTGATGATTGATCGATTTGCAAAAAAAAATTGATTGATTGATCGATCGATTTGATTGTTGCTAGGAAATTATGGTCATTCTGTTGTTTTGTAATTTTACAAATATTTTGAAAAAAAATGTTGTATTATGTGAAGGTGGTGTAATAAGTTAAACATGAATGAATGAATTTTTTTTTTGTTGTTTTCATCTGCTGTATATATAGGTAGGTGGATAATCAATAATCAATAAAATCAAAATCAAAATTCAAGTTTTTCCAATAAAAGTGATCAATAAAATTAATTAATTAATTAATAATGCATTCTTTGTGTTTTGTTTTGTTTTGTTTTGTTTTTTTTTAGTTTCACAACCATACAGTCAATCAAATTTGATAATAATAATAAGACAAATGGGAAAATTACGTGTTTTGGTAGATAATGTCTGAAATATTTTTCAACGGGTAAAAATGATTGATAATGAGCAGCAGCTGATAAGATATATATGTTTTTTTTGTTTGTAATAAATGTATAATATGAATGTATAACATTTGTGTAACTAAATAATAAGAATAAAACTTGATTTAACACTTGATTTTCATCTTTTTTTTTCAACTAAAATATTTTTCTTTTCGATTGTCCTTGTGAATGTAAAGATGAAGAAAAGAAGAATTTCTTCAGAATAGTTTTTGTTTTTCAATTTTAAAAAAGTAAGTTTTAGGTTTTGTTTTTGTTCTGAGTGAGAGGCTTATGCGATTACACAACCAATTAATTTTCGGGTGTTTTTTTTTTTTTTTTTGTTTGGTTTTTCTTTACTTTGAAGTTTTTTTTCTCGATTTATGCACGTCGTAGATAATGATGATGATGATGATTGCGAACGGGTTAATTAAGCAACAAAAAAAAAGAATTTTGGAAGGCTAATTATTCTGAAGAAAATGCAGCACAGAAAAAAAAACATAGAAACAATATTATGCACAACCGAAGAGAAGAATAAAGAACAGTAATAGCAAAAATGTTGGAACCAAGAAAAAAATGAAATGGCGTTGAATTATACAGAGCGAAAAAGCGAGAAAGCGAAATTCATTGGAAATAATCCAAATGATGTTTGTTTGTTTGATTATTTGGTTAGTTGGTTGGTTGAGCTATTTTCTAAATTGATTGAAATCGATATTTTGTTTTTTGTTGGTTTTAGGTTTTTTAGTTTTTGATCCTTTAATTGACTACGAATTTTTTTTTTGGTTCAATTTGCTTTGATCGTCAGTTTTTTTTTCCAAAAATTATTGATGAAAAACAGAATTTTTTTTTCTTTTGGATTTCCACGGAAAAAATACATTAAATCCATTAAGTTATTTAATTTGCTTTTTCTCGTTCTTGTTCAAGATGTTTTTCTAAACGTTGTTGTTGTTGATAATAATGACAAACAACATTGAAATAATATTAATACTGATATTCAATAATGGAAAATATTGTTGTTGAAATGTTGATTTGTTGGCCGAATTATGGCATAATTGATTCTTTTTTTCAAGTGAAGCTTTTTTTCAAAAAAAAAGAAAAAGAAAGTTACCAATGATTATTATGATTTTACAGTTTATTTTATTCGATTATCACTTACTTATATTATCGATTAATTGAGGTAAATAGGTTTGCCAAAAGGCACACTGCTTAGTACGTATTCCTTGTCCAATACTATAATTTGTTGAAAATGTAAGATATTCTTTTCTATATGCGGTGTATAAAGGCCAATGTAATTGTGACCAAATACCATTTTCATCCATTGTTGGATTACTGAAATAATTTTATTTGATTAGTCACATTGGTCAATTTTTGAAATTTGAAACAACAACAACAAAAAAAACATACCCAGTTTTAGCAAAATTTGCCCAACAATTCATCATTTGTTTACTTAATTGAAATTCTTCATGTGTATAACCAATTGTTTCATTAAATGGTTCACCAAATATAAATGGTATTTCATCACCATGCATTGTACCCATCCATTTTGGCCATGGATTTTTTGTTGAACGATGTGCAAAATAATACATATAAACTTCATTACCAACCGATGCATAACGATCAGCAAATTTATTCACATGACAAACAAAATAATAATCACCAACAATTTTATCAATTGCATCACGATTTTTAATCGGATCATCCGGATTTAACCAATCAGTATATTCATATATAATTGCTGATTGTCCAATTGGTGATATATTTGGATATAATAATTTTACTGAATTATTAAAATCAGCTCTTGTTAGATAAATATCTTCTTCTAATTTAAATTTTTCTGTTAATTTATATATAATAAAATATGTAGCTTCTTCAGTATTACTTCCTAATAAAATACGTGTTTTTTTAAAACGTTTATCATTCATTAATTTTTCTGGATAATCGGTAAGAAAAACACCATCAACAATTGGTGTGAATGCAAATTCAACAACACCATTAGCATCACCTGATTCATTACGCATCAATAATAATGGATCTGTTTGTCTTAAACAATTAATTACTTGATCAATTTGTTGATCATCATATGGACAACCAACTGATTCGGCTAACATTAGGCCACGTTGATGAATTTTTTTCTTTTCAACTAAACCCCATGGTACTGTTGGTGAACCACTTTGTAATATACCTTGACTAAATAAATGTTGACTTAATGGTGATAATAAATGATAGGCAATACTGGTTGCACCGGCTGATTCACCAAACAATGTTATATTATTACGATTTCCACCAAATTTTTCAATATTTGCTTGTATCCATTGTAATGCCATAACCTGATCAAACATACCAGCATTACCAACAACATCATTGGTATTATCAAAATAAAGAAAACCAAGATTACCAAGACGATAATTAATACTAACTAATATAATATTTTCTTCAGTGGCCATAATTTTTCCATCATATAAATCTAATGATGTTGAACCAGTATTAAAACATCCACCATAAATCCAAACTAATACGGCAGAATTTTTTGGTCTTGGATATGGTACCCATATATTCAATGTTAGACAATCTTCATCAAGATTCGTTTGATCAACATTCCACATATTGGTACCTAAAAAATTTGTACCAAATGTATGATCTTCAACCTGATAACAGGATTTTGGTTGTTTTGTTGCATTAAATATACCATCCCAAAAATCAATTGGTAATGGATGTTTATAACGTAAATCACCAATTGGTGGTTTAGCAAATGGTATACCTAAAAATTCATCAACTAAACGACCAGTTAATGAACGCATACGTTGTCCACGTATCATACCACGTGTTGTTTGTATTAATAATGAATCATCATTACTATTATCATTATTAAAATTATTTTGATTATCTAAATAACCAGTTGAAATATAAGGACCATTATTATTATTATTATTATTATTACGTTTAAGTGGATGACCATCAACTATAATTATTATTATTGATATTGTTGATAATAATATCCATAATGGTAGCCATAAAGCTAATATAGATGATATGATAATTTTCTTTTTTTCATACATTATCGTTAAATACATATCGATTGATGATTTTTTTATCTGTACATTTGAAATATAATGGGTGTATTGAATTGATATTTGGATTCTTTGATTTGTTTTGTTTTGTTTTTTGTTTCTCTTGGATTCGATGCTATTTTTGCTAATTCAATAATATTGGCCAACAAACAAAATTCTATAATTACATTGAACAATTCGATATTTTTTATTTCTTCAATATGCTGTTTTTAAATGATCTTTGAATGATAATGAAGATTTTGCACACACACCAAAAAAATGTTTGCAAATGTTTTTGTTTTCAATTATCAATTGGCAATTGATCGGAAATAATTGAATTGAACCGATAAGAATAGAGAAAGTGAATGAACATAGAAGATGTATAATTTTTTTTAAGAAAATGGCAAGCAAAAATAAAAAAGAATCAATTTCAATTTTTTTTCTTGACAAACAGCAATAATAATGACAACATGAAAAGCAAAAAGAAAAAAGCACAACCGAGATTTACAAATACAATGAATTGGCAATGATGATAAAAGATGTAAAGAATTTTTTTTTTAAATATGAATTCAAAAGAGTTAGAAATGAATTTTTTTAAAAAAAAGACAGCACAAAATAGATTTGTTGTTGTTGTTGATTTGTTAAGAGGACATCCAAGCACCAATTAAAAAGGGACAACAAACAGAATGAAAATCTTTTTTATCAGAAAAATAATATTCACAATTTGGTCACAACCAAGAGAAGAGGAAAAAAACTCACAACACTTAGATTGATTTTTTTGTTTGTTGAACAAAAAAAAAAATTACACAACCAGAATGAAAGAATTGAATGAATATAGCACACATCAAAAATATTTGAAACAAACAAACAAACAAACATAAAATCTATCTATTCTCTATTTCTAAATCATTAATCATCATTACATTTTATCAATGATGATGATCATTTTTTTTCTATGGAAAAAATAAAAAAATCGAAATGATCATCAGACAATTTTTTTTTACTTTATTTTTTCTGGGATATCATATTAAAGCTCGAAGAAATCAACTATATCTTAATATCATTTTCATTTCATTTCTTTATTCAATTCTTCCAACCATCTTTCTATCTCAAGAATTAATTTTTTTTTACAGACGGCGTATGTGAAATGGAAATATATAACACACACACAAAGATATTCTACTACAAATTTTCGGAGGACCTTGTTGGAACAACCAAATAAATTCATCAGCAGCAATATTCTTTATGTGTTTATTTGTTTGTTTCGGGGTTCAGAAAAAAAAGAAAGAAATGGAATGAATGAATACAGCAAACAATCAAAAAAAGAAGGAAAGAGGATCCAATCCTGATGTACATGTAATCTAATGGATCTATCTGTGGTGGTGGTGGTGGTTGTTGTTGGTTGATATTATATTGGTGGAACCAAAAAAAATCCAAAAGAAGAAAAAACACAGTGGCGCCCAACCAAAATCAAAAAAGATAGGACCGATTATATTCTTCAGTAGTAGTAGTAATGATGCCGTTATTTTTGCTATATTGAATATTAAAGGATATTTTTTTATTATTAGTCTGTTTGTGTCACAATCAACTATCCACTAACATCATCAGAGTAACTTGGAAGAAAAAAAAATTCAAAATTGACAAATAACAACAACCAAACAACAACCAGGAAAGCAAGTTCAATATATTTTCAAACAAACAAACAGGCAAAGAGCTATATCATATTTAATGTTGATAATAAATTTAACATGAAAAAGATGCTGTTTTTCCTTCGAGATTGATGCCTTTTTTTTCAATTCGCCTATATTCAAATAAAAGGGGTGTTATATATACGAATTTTTTTGTTGTTTGTTTGGAACGGTCGATATTTCATGTTTTCATGTGTATCATGTACAGAATTTTTAGTAATAATAATAATATTTGGATTGGATAAAAAACAAATAAACAAGCCATAGAGAATATATGTGTGATTAGAATCGATTTTTTTTTGGTTCTTTTCAGTCACTTAAGTTACTTTATAACTTCAAAGAAGAATCGATTTCAACTTGTTTTTTTTTTGACAAACAACAAATAAGAATATTGAATCGTTGAAAAGCAAGCATTCTACTACAAATTTTCGAGGACCTTGTTGTTGTTGGAACAATCAAAGAAAGAAAGAAATACAGCAAACAATCCAAAAAAGAAAGAAAGAAAGAGTGGATCCAATTCAAATGTACATGTAATCTCTATCTATGTGATTGTTTGCTATATTGGATTGTAGAATCCAACATTGAAACATTGGCGCCCAATAAAACCAAAATCAAAAAAAAAAAGATAGGACCGATTATAATTTCAGTGGTAGTAGTATCAGTAGTTATTTGCTATATTGAATATTTAAGGATATTTTTTTTTATTGGTCTGTTTGTGTCACAATCCAACAACATTATCATCATCATCAGAGTAACTTGGGAGAGAAAATAAATAAATAAATTCGAAATTGACAAATGACAAATAACAGCAAAACAACCAGGAAAGAAAGTTCAATATATTTTCAAACAAACAAACAAACAGGCAAAGATCTATATCATATTTAAAGTTGGTAATAAATTTGAAACAAGAAAAAAGATGCTGTTTTCTCTCTCTCTCTCTCTTTCCCTTTCTTGATTGATGCCTCTTTTTGTTTCAATTCGCCTATATTCAACTAAAGGATGTTATATATACGAATTTTTTTGTTTGGAACGGTAGATATTTCATATTGTCATGTGTGTGTGTATCATGTACAAAATTTTTAGCTTTACATTATTAGTTATAATAATAATATTTGGATAACAAACAAACAAATAAATAAATAAACAAGCCATATAGAATATATAAGAATCGATTTTTCATTCTTTTCAGTCACTTTTTATACTTCATAACAAGCACACGATTTGTTTATTTGTTTGTTTGTTTGTTTGTTAGAATGATGCGAGAAAGATAAAAAAGGTTGATGAGGAAAAATGAAAACATCTCATACACAAAGAAGAAGAAGAAGAAGAAGAATCTTTTCTTAATAATAATAATATTGACATATGTTTTTTTTTACTTTGGTGTTCATTCATTCAATGAAATGGATGCGGGAAAAAAATATATATGAAATTTTGTTGACAAATGAGCCAACCAAAAAAAAAAAGAAGAAAAACTTATGAGATTCAATAAAAAACCCCGAAGGAATATTATAATAACGAATAACAAACAAACAACAACAACAACAAAAAGAACAGAATCTATATATGAAAAACTTTAACTTAAAATAACCTAACCTCACCTAACTGAACGTATAAAGTCATAGATATTTCCTATTTATTTAGAAAAATACAAACAACAACAACAAAAATCTAAATTAATCAATCAATCGATTGAAATGAATATATTTATGAATGAATGAATGGAAAAAAATTACATTACCTTTCAATAATTGATATATAGAACGAACAAACAAACAAACAATTCAGGAATATAGATTATTTTCTTCTTCACTTTCAAATAAGAAGAATTTGAATCGATTTTCTTTTCATTATAAATTCATTCATTCATTCAAAATAATAACTAAATGAACAATCAGCACAGGATATTCTTGTTGTTGTTGTTTTTTCATTATTGAATCATTCATCGTATTGATTATTCATATTGATCGATAATAAATGAAAAGGATATGGTATTAAACAATAATAATAACAAAAGAAGAAGAAGAAAACATTACAAAGAAATTTTTGTTTTTGGGATATTAATGAAATTATCAGGTTTTCACTTTTATATATCATCAATTTTGTACACATTGTCGATCGAATATCAAATGTACAAATGTAGGCGTTGGATATTATTATTCAAAAAGGTTTTTTTTTTTGGTCGGGCTGTCAATTTCGTATGTTTCACATTGAATAATTGATTTCTTAATAAGAATTTTTTCTTATGAAATAATTGCTGCCCCAAACAAACAAACAAACAAACAACAATAGAATAATAGAATATTTCGAATCAATCAAATTGATAAATGAGAATTGTTCGTTTCTCAATTTCGGACATTCAAAATATTTCAAGGATTTTTTTTCATAATAAAAAATTCATAAGATGAAAAAACGTTCGAATATTCGAATGAATTTGAATTAAAAAAAAAAAAAAAGAAGATAATCTCATCTATGAACGTGACGACGGTTGTATTTTTCTGTCTGCGTGCGCGTTCATGTTTTTTTTTGTGTCTGCTGCGGTCTGTCAATTTTATTTTTTTAAATAAAAAGTTTTTATTTTTAAAATTTTCATCCGAAATCAAGAAAACAAAAAACAATGACATTATCCGATTCGATCAATGAATTCAAATTGGATAATGTTCCAAATGATTGTATACAAAGTGTAAAATTTGGTAAACATTCGGATCAATATTTACTTGCCGCTTCATGGGATTCAACATTACGTTTATATGATATTTTTAATAAAAAACTTTGTCTTAAATTTGATCATCCGGCACCGGTTTTAGATTGTGCTTTTCAGGTTAGTTTTGTTGTTGAATTTCTTTGTAAATCTAAGTTGTCAAATTTCTAATTAAATATCATAGGATTCAAATCATGCATGGAGCGCTGCATTTGACCGTAAAGTTCGAATGTTTGATCTACAAACAAATACCGAAACAATTGTTGGCCATCATGATGCACCAATCAGATGTTTAGAATATTCGATTGATAATAATCTTATTATAACGGGTGGTTGGGATTCACAACTTCGATTATGGGATGGACGATCACCGAATGCTGTTGGAACTTATAGTCAACCAGATCGAATATATACGTTCGATGTTAGTGGTAATACAATTGTTGTTGGTACAGCCGAACGCCGTGTACTTGTTTGGGATCTAAAAAATATGTCCTATCCACAACAACGAAGAGAATCAAGTCTAAAATATCAAACCAGATATATTCGATGTTTTAGTAACAAAGAAGGTTTTGTTCTTAGTTCGGTTGAAGGTCGTGTTGCTGTTGAATATCTGGATCCTAGTCCAGATGCACAGAAGAAAAAATATGCATTCAAATGTCATCGTAACAAAGATACAGCTACCGGATTGGAATATATTTTTCCCGTAAATTCAATTAGTTTTCATTCGGGTTATAATACATTTGCAACTGGTGGATCCGATGGTTTTGTTAATATTTGGGATGGTTTTAACAAAAAACGTCTTTGTCAATTTCATAAATATCCAACAAGTATTTCATCATTATGTTTTTCACCTGATGGTACTTATCTAGCTATTGCATCATCATATTTAGCTGAAACAAATGATATTAAAGATATACCGCCGGATTCAATTTTTATAAGAAAAGTTTCCGATCAGGAAACTAAACCAAAATAATTTTATATTTTTAGTAATTATTTATTTTTTTTTTTTTTTGTAATTAATTATCATTCATCAATCTTTTTTTTCAAAAATGAATAATTAAAAAAAAAAATTTCACCCATTTT